TGTAAGACCACAAAGCATGCCGGGAAGGTGAAGTGGGGTTGGAACGTACCCAGGCCCTACCTAAACCCCAACACCGCATTGCAGAAGCTACGTCATCTCCCATGGCTTGCAATGGGGGCTTGCTTGCCGACACGACCTTTGGCAGATCTTTCGCGAATCTTTCGCGGATTTTCACGTAGGAATTCTGAGACTGAGCCTGTGCCTCAGAAAGACTTGCAACCCTTTCACCTTTGAGCATGCCTGGAAGCATGCCTGCGGACTGCAAGAAGAGAAATGCTTGTGAAGGTAAGTAAAGGAACTATAGCTTACGATACTGCTTTCGCGAAATCCAAAGCTCCTCTCGCGAGCACCACCGCGACCTTTCCCGGAAGGTCTTTTCAGCCTGCTGTGGTAGTTTTATATAGAAACTTCCACATGGGGTTTTCCTGCGATGTCCACGTGCACCCAGTTGTATACAGCCAGCATGTGCACCCGCATGTGCTGGTTCTGGGGCTTGCCAAGTGTGGACGTCATGCCTTTGCAGATAGGCGTGCAGCCTAGCAACGCCAGGTTTGCCCACTCACTCCTTGCGGTTTCTCCGTTTCGGACAACGATCTGCTTGCCCATGGCCTCCCCCACTGCTCTGCACATGCCCACGTGTGCTGGCATTGGCATCAACACATTCAGGGCAGGATCTGCTTGACGTTGCGAACGTTGGTTTGCACAAGCCCTGAAATCAACCCGGAGAAACCTGCCATCAAGATGGGATGCCCACCTCATTTTCACGAATATTTTTCTCTATCGCACGGGATGCTTGGCCCCGTGGTGCGAAACTAATATCTTGGATATCCCCCATATGCGTTGTAGCATGTTACCAGAGGTGGCAAGTTCATACCAACCTTGCCGCGTACTTCTGTCAAGCAAATCATTGCAAATAGAAAGGTTTTCCATCGCTGACTTTTACTTTGCACGCTTGATAAAACGCCAGTGTACAAACGTCGTCATCATGGCACTTGGCGCCCGTCAGCTGACGAACACACTGATTGCTCAATCAGATCGCCTCGAAGAGATTTAGTGGACTTTCATGCTATGGCATGGCGATATAGCACAGGATGGTTAGACAGAAAGGCGTGGGCTTGTCTGAAACAGCACATACATCCTGGGAGCTTGCTAGCGCATCACAATTTGAAAACTCTACAATGAGCTTGAAAAAGGTCAGTTGTAAGAAGAATATTAGGAAATATGAACATATTTTCGCATCCGTGAAGATCTGCAAATGATCTGCTAATGGTTCCAAGAATAACCGCTGATGATACGACTTCTATTACCAATCTTACGGATGATCACAGATCCCTTAACCGATGATTCCTTCCTTCCCCTGATTCCTCTCATATAAGTACACTGGACATAACTATTCAGGCGTTTTACGGCAGTCACGGACCAGAAACCTATGCATCCCACAAATGATTCACCAATACCGACATGTCTGCGAGGACCAAGTTGCGAATGTATACAAACGTGGATTTGCAGCTGCCTTCACACTTTCGAGGAGGTTAGCATTCGCAAATTGCTTCGAAGTAAGCGCTGCAGTGCCTTGTTCCTCCCTTCCGTACAGCACGGAGAGCTACCACAAAAAAAGTCAGTCGCCACGTATCTGGCATCTGCTCGGAATCGCGATCGCTACCATTCTCAAACAGGCCATCTTGCGCATCAAGCCCTGCTCAAGCTGCTCAAAGCAATGTGCAGCAATCCGTCCGTCCGTGACTCAACCCGCCTTACAAACCTACATGGGCCTTTTCCTGTTCCATGAGAGCAGGCAAGTCGGTGAGAAGTGCCTGAATCCATCAGCAGGGTGAAAGCAGGTGACACAGGCTGCAAATTTCATGCAGGATCATGATGAGTGGCGGCATCTACTTGCCCTCTGAAACAAATTCCTTGAAACTTGCCAAGGCAAAACACAGCTGCCGTTCATGACGGTGGGTAAGCTTCAGCCGAGCGTTTGCCGCTTTGAGCGCATCACGCCAATGCCACTTCACTCTTCCCAGCGCCTTTCACTCCTCAGGAACTTCCTGCAAACGTAGCAAAAATGTGACAAGATTGAGTCCTAGTCAGCCTCCCATTACACAAGAAGGGCCACCTCGGCAACGGGCACAGTGTGCCCTAGCGCCTGCCAAGCCAAGGCACAGTGCAAATTCAAATCCAGCAATGGTGGCGATGTCCTCTGGCTGCTCATCAGGCAAGCGCTGAAGAGCTGGAGCTGAAGCACACCTCGACATCAAATTGCAGCTCACATCATCTTGCACATGACAGGAACTGCATGAGGAAAGCACTCACGAAGGCCAGGAAGCTTCAATTTGGAGGTCACCTTCTTGAACCTGGCATCTTGCAAGATGGAATGTAAACGCTCAAAGGACATGCCACGCAGACTTCGTCAACTTGAAGGGCTCTTTTGGATCCTCAGGGGAAACACTATCAGTTCATCCCAAATCAGCATTCCAGCGAGCTCCTGTGGGTTTCGCCACTCCTTCATCCTTTGGCGTGCTTCATGAATGCGCTCTTTTGAAGCCTGCATCTGCCCAACTTGCAAGACTTGCCGGAGGGGGCATCAGAGCTTCACAGGTCCTTCGTCAGCTTTATGAGCCGTCGCTCCTGCTTCTGCTGGTTCTCCTGCGATGGCAACAGTCCCAGGAATTGAAGGTGTCTTCTAGCCCTGGTCACCTCCAAGACGCGGTAGTGAACTGCCAAAGCCTGCCGCTGAATGCAAGTCTGCACTCTGGCGCGCAACTGGGCAACGTCTAATCCGCCTCCTCTGATTCTGTGGCATACTGGTTGCCAATCTGACAGACTGTAGTGTTGGGCCACTTCGAGTTTTGCTGAAGTGCATTCAAGCAGCGACATGGGTTATAGGAGTCGAGGGTCGCGATTTGGTGCCATACGCGAACCTGTCACCAAGTATTTGGGCAGCACCCTGCCTTTAACTCGGCAAACGTGCTGGCCACACGAAGGGATCACGTCCGAAGGGATAACTTTGGGAAGAACGCCGAGAGGGCCCTAGGCCATGCGAACTATGCTGCGTCGAACATTTCTTTGATGAATGAGTCTCCCCCTTTCTGTCCAACCCCTCCGCTTTGGCCTTGGCTCATGTTTGCAAAGCTCGTTTGCCGGGAAACTGGAAATTCCGGACGGGCCCTTCAAGTGACAAAGCCTCTGGGGTCTTTTTTGCGGCTTCGGATGCCAAGAACGTGTGACGAGCTTCATATTACAGCCTCCACAATCCCAATGCGGAAGTTGATCACACTGCATGTATCATCTGAATCAAGTCGAGGGACCGTACTTCGCTGACTCCCCGTCTACACTGAACCCCTTCAGGAACTCCTGACACCTCATACACCTCTTCAACAAATCTCTTTGCAAAGACAAACAGAAAAATTGATTTAAAAAATTGTCTGATGCTCATGAACATATCAGAAATTGATATCGGACGGTCTGGCTGTCTAAACCCAGAAGTCGATCGTTGTCCCAGTCCGTGCCGTCTACCCTGATTTTTCGTGCGTCAACCACACATGCTGGTGGCACCTTACATCGGGGTAATACCCTCTGCTCGAATGCAAGCAGATGGCTTTCATCCTGTGCAATTGCTGACAACAACTCAGCATCTGAGCCACAATGTCCGCCAGTATGGTGGTGGTACTTCGGCTACTGCCATAAGCTGAGCACCCAACACTAGAGGTGGGCCACCTCTCAGCCATGTTTTGTTATGGTTCAGCTCCGCTGCTGAACAAGCGCGGACTCCAAGACACTTTCAACTAAATGAAGGAAATGCAGGATTTGTTTCAGTGCTTTGCGGCTCAGCAAGCTAAGCTCGCACGATCTCCCAATGTGCGAGCAGCCAAGGCGGATCCGCGTTAGCGTTTACAGCTGCAGATCATCGAAGCCAAACATTCAGTTGTGAGGCTTTGCTAGGCGCACTGCAGGGGGCACCAACTTGATGTCATTTGATTTCCTGAAATCTGCCAGGTCGCGGGCATGCCTGACACGAGACCATGTGCAGGCCAAGCATGCAACGTCTTACATCGTTCTCTCCGTGTTTGGTGCTTGCAGGATGAGGAGTGGATCCAAAGGCATTCTTGGAAAGCTTGCCTGGATCATGCGCTGCTATAATTCTAGCTCAGGGGACTTGGCATCGCTTACCTGATGGACTTTGACATGGAGCCCAAGCGCTCTGTGGGATGCCTGCGGAAACTCTAGCGCTTTTCGAATCGAGAACTTACAAGAAGGGTTGAGGCCCGTAACGCAAAACCGGAGCGGATACCAATGTCACAGCAGAGCCTGACCCCACACTTAGCAGCTGCTCGGTTCAGCTTTCGAAAATCCTGGCATCCGCTTGTTGGATGAAGGCCTACTGAATGCATGGGGAAACACTACTTGCTCCTTACAACCTGCCAGCTGCAAGTTCCCTCCTGGCAGTCTGGACCAGGTTTAGGTCGCGGAACGTGTGACGCCCAGTGCATTGTCACCTTGGCCATCGCAACGACACAATGTTCCGTGAGGAGCTCCCGTCTTTGCTTTGTGCCTCTCTGGCTCCTTCCACATCAGCAGGTTCACTACGGCCGAAGGTGAAGCCCTCCAGGCAACAGCTCAAACGGCATGGCTTTAGCAATCTCAGCGAAACAAGTATTGCTTGTTGTGTGAGTGAACCACCCCCTGCTGCACTGTCACAGCAATGACACATACACCTTTTTCTTGCAGCTCTGGGCACCAGCTGCATCACACGCGTCCTGGCAAAGCAGAGGGACTACATCTAAATGAAGGTCTGGCTGCTTTACAGTCCTCTGCTGGAAGGTGTCGCAGTGCGAGGCTGTCGCCTTCGCAAGTCCTCAGCTCCAATGTATCCAACTGCCCAGGATTGCTGCTCCACACCCACCTCATCGGTTGAAGCCTTTGCTCCTTGAGGAAACGATGTTTGTGTGGTCTGTGGAATGGCAGCCTCCTTGTGCTCCTTGGGCGAGGCTCGGCAATGCCCGTGACTTTCAAACTTAGCTCTCCCACCTCACTCTCTTCCCGGAGCGTCATAGCCCAATAAAACAGGAAAGCCCCTGTGCAGAGCAGACATGCAAGCTTGATCATGTCCAGCATCCCCATTTCCCGCCTGCCTGCAACACACAAGGCAACCAAACCCGCCATCCAACTCTGGAAGTGAGGATGATCTTGCCCACATATGGTGTACCACGAAGCCACACCACCTAGGAAATGGAATCATCTTGACACGTTGAAATTTGTTGGCATGTCAAAACATGGAGCTTTCATCTAGCAAAAAGATCCACGGAGCCTTTCATAGACTGCTCAGGGGTCAGGCGAGTCCATCTCGCAATATCCTTCAGAACCAGAATGTGTTACTCTTCCGTTGCAAACAGGCAAAACTGCAAGACATCCCAGGATCGTTCAAAGAGTTGCCCTCGCACTCCAGTCGAAAATATTCGTGAGGGAAACGGTCACGACATATGTATCTCCTCAGCGGTAGAACGCTCTCGACTCTGACTTTTTCTCATGCACCTCTCAGGGGGCGCTGATGAGGCTCTGGCTTTCTCTGCAGGCCAAGCAAGTCGATATCCGTTGCATCACAAGGCCCAAACTCCTGGTGCACCCCAGTAGAGACCTGAAGCAGATTTTGCGCTGCGGCACCAGCCACACGTTGACGACTGGACCGATGTAGCCTTCACTACGCGGCAACAGCAACTAGGATTATCTGAAGAGGTGGTACACTGGTCATACATGCCGTGTTGCAGGCATGCTTCTGACTCTGACTAGATGAAGAACGCCTCTTTTCTGGGAAGATGGCACAAAGTCAGCCCACATGCCGGGACCATCTACAAAACCGGCTGCTACAGCATCACACAGTGCGCAGCGTCATGTACAATGTACATGACATCCAGCGGCATTTGAAAGACCAGCCTCTGCCTCTCGACCTGCTTGTGGTGTCTTCTTGCATCAAAACTGCAATTCTTGCAGCTGCGCACCAAATGACACAGAAACCACCTGTAGGCATGAGACCTAATACCAGTGCTCCTCGAGGTTCATCCAGTCAGCTCTGTATGATGGCCAGCTCCTCTCTCATGGCCCTGGGTAGAGGCCATGTGGAGTTGTTGCATGGCTGCTCCGGCCAGTGGAGGAGCTCGTAACGCCGCAAACCAGCTCAGGGCATCTGGCTGGCCAATTGTTGTCATTGAGACAAATGTGAAGCAAAGTTGTCTCAGGCTGTGTCAGCGTTTCGAAGAATGTTCGCAGCAGGCCCTTCTCTACCTGTACAGTAATGAAGCATCCGAGCAAATTCCCCTAGACTCGGTCAGTAGTGGTGCCTTCCTCCAAAATGCACCAGCCATGTGCTGACCAAACGCAATCTGCACCATTCTGCACCCGTCACGGTGTCCCTTGGGCTGCGGTCTACAACCTGCACCCTCTAAGCCTTGGTTACATTTAACCCATCTTTCTTCTTCCATCATCCAGTGCATGCTTCATCCCAGGTCTAAATGCTGAAGCTTCTGAGTGCTGCCCTTCAGGGCACATAGCTGCGGAGCAGGTCAACATAGGTCAAACTTTGCAGCGCCTGCAGCTCCTCTGGTCTCTACATTCATGTTGGCAAGTTGCCTGTTTCTCTGGGGAGAAGTTCGAGCCGATGAAGACCAGTGTTGCAAAGTACCCAAACAAAGCAAAGCGCACTGACCAGTGCCTCAAATGCAAAACGAGTACTCCCCACAAGCCAAGCAAACATGACGTGCGACAGCTCAGCACTACTGAATCCAGTTGCTCCGGCGTCCTTAATCGTCGTAGGGCTGATGGCTGTGGCCAAACCTGTCTCCAAGGTGCAACACTTCAACTTTGTAAGCTTTCCCTGCAAGCTGGCCTTTATTGTTGGCTGCCAAAAACATAAGACCATGAAGAAAAGGCCGGCTGCCAGAACTGTCTGCGGTCCAGGCATCCCGATCCTTCAGCAAACACACACGTTTATAGCTCTACAAGGCGGTTCTGGCCAGCACCTGTCCCATCCAAGGACTGTGAAAAGGTTCAGGACAGCCAGCATTAGCGGAGTCGACCTTGGTCAAGCGCATGGGACCGCCCAAGCATTAACACACCAAGTGCACCTCCCTTGTCTGCAACATAGTTTGGAACAACAGTGTGAAGTCCTGTACCCAAGGCCACAAAGACTGGCACCAGTCTTCGCTCTAGCTTCTAGCTCAGAATCTCTTCTATTTTGCAGCGCATACCATCAGAAGGCTTATTCTGACTCACATGCATCTCCAAGAGTCCAGCACGCCAGCAGCAGCGTTCGCAGTTGACCGCGGCCAGAGTCATGTCCCCAGCGCCTGTGAACTTGCAGACACCATGAACGCAAACATGTTCTCACTCTCCACAGATGTCGAGCAATATGTCAGCAGGCCACAGAAGAAGCGAGAAGCAGAATGTGAAAGTTATGGTCCAAGCCTTGTCTGACGTCAACCCACGTGTATAGTTTCAAGCTCTGGTGGTTTGACCATATGCATCTTAGCTCCACACGGTGCTGCCACCTGGCACACCAAGCCATCGCAGGGCAACACCAGGATCAGTGTCATGCCATGTCCACCTTGACACAAGCTGCACTTCAGGAGTTTCCTGTCCGAAGAAGGTGCACACACTGAGTCTCAATGACAACTCCTACACGCGAAGCTCCGACCTGACCTGGGCCACAGTCGCCAAGGCACCACAAAAATCTAGCACCGCAAAGATCGTATGGCGCATAGAAAACTGCCGCCAGCAGGCCTTCAGACAAAAGACAAGACTCTCTCACTGTCGGACGACTTTGTCGGACGACTTGCTGGGGAGAATGCGGAAAGATACGGAAAGCCCTTCTCTTGTAGACATGCCACCAGCAAGGCCAGCTTCTGCCAACGGACACTTACGCGTGTGACAAAAGACGCGGGCAGCTGCAACCTTACATCGGAGCAAGACCTGTGACTCAAGCTTGATTGTTGATGGTTCTCGCAAAATGAACAGTCAGGATGACAGCAAGAAAGCACGGAACAACGTTCACTTCTGATCATGCAATCCAAGCTTCGGTTGACCAATACATGAAAGCGTTGTACACGCAGGGTATATACAGCGGCATTCTTGGAGTCAACATCAGAACTGCTTGTGCCTGAAACAGCCAGACGACCTGCCTCACCCCACCGTCTACTCTGAAAGCTCAAGGTTCCCTCAGCAAAACAATCGCAAAGCTGCTGTTGCATTCAAGTTCACATGCAATCATGCCAATTAGCGGTGTTCCTGCCAGAAGTTGTCCACCACTGGCAGCAACATAAATATATAGTCGTTGACGGTGCCTACAATGAAGGTTGACACCCATATCCTTAGGATGATGCTTGCAGAACTTTATCGAAAGCTGGGATAACCGCCTTCAGATTTGCAAGAGCGCTCTCTACGAGCTTGACCTGCAGAAGCACAACTAATCTGACGTGTGATGGACATACCCTCGGATGGACGTGCCCTAGATGAGACCATGCTGCTGCTCTGATTTCCTTTTCGCATGGAGCAGGCTACTTCCGGCATAAACACAGAAGCTCCAACTGTCAAAACTTTTGGCCCTTGGGGCTCAGACTTCGACCTGAAAGGTTGCGTTTAAGTGCATTTTCTCAGCGAAGCCTCACATGCCGTTGTAGTAGCAACTGTTGATGTTTCTCGGAGGCCTGTCAGCACTGAAAACCGAGGGTTGTTCAGCTGTTGGGTGGAGTTGGAGGAAACGAGTTGGGAGGCAGTGCTAGCCCCCTCGCCCCTCCCCATGTGCAACTGCCTCAGAAGCAGGACTAGCATGCATCATTGCGCAAGCTTACAACAAGAATAGCAACGAGATGTAGAATGATGATAGCAGCAAGCAGCAGAAACAACACTGGTGATCGCGACGATGGCACTTACCATAGCACCACAGCAATGACAGCAATGATAACAATGGTAACAACAGTAGCAACATCAAACAGCACCAGTAGTTGTAACGTGGCTAAAGGCAACAGCAGCAGTAGCAATGATGATTCTGGCAATGATCATGACAGTGGTAACAGTAATCATAAGACCATTGAGCAGAAAAAACTTTTGTCGTCGTACTAGTGAAAACAGATGTTCGATGTAGCAGGCAATGGATACTTGTTTAAAAATGAGAAAACTGCAAGATATAGGCAGCAAGTAATAGGTGATGGCAATAGTACTAATGATGATCGTCATAACCATCCAAGTATTGGCAATAGAAATAAGGACGGTGACAGTAATAATGCATGTTTGAGTGAAGGATATCAGTCATTGTAACAGCAGGAGTGACAACATGAATAACATCGGTGACAACAATAACAAATAGCAACCGCCAGCAAAGTAACAGCACTACGTGCGACAGCCTCAAGAGTAGTACTTATGGTTCGTACCAATACTGGTGGCAACAGTAAAAATGCTGGCAATGGAAATAGCAAAAGAGGGCTCCACAGGAAGAAAATTAAGACTAACAGAGTAATGCTAGTAACAATGGCGCTAAACAGCACAACAATCGTACTGGCAGCTGTGACCAAAACAATATCTATGCAATAGCGATGGCATGCAATGGTAATACTCAAACCAGGAATGATGATCATTGCATCCAAAAGGCCATTAAAGAAATTAATAACAACAATGGCAATAGGAAAAGCAGCGAAACAACGATTGCAAAAACATACGGATGCAAGGTATGAAAAGCAATCAAGATAGTTGCAATTGGTGTAATGATACTGCTACTGCTGCTGCTACTGCTACTACTACTACTGCTCACCTACTACTACTACTACTACTACTACTCCTCCTCCTACTACCACCACCACCACCACCACCACTTACAAATCCTAACTGCTGCTGCTACTAATACTACAACAGCTACATCCATCTTCCAATGATGCTACAACTCACTCCTCCATCTCCTACTCTGCAGGCGACTCAAAATACAACTCCTGCCAGCAAGTCGTATGGTAGAGCCTGCTGGTTTAAGCTGTGGGGGTTCCTTAAGCGTGTAAAGCCTAAGGCCGAGCTTCCGAAACGCTAACTTCTTGTTGGTGACGGTACTTGCCACGGATGTGCCGTCCTTGGATGACTTCTTGGCAGACACCAGCGACAGCATCCAGGACCTCGGTCAAATTGAGGCTGGGTTTAGGTTTAGGGTGCAAGGTTCAAGGTTTAGAGTTTAGGCTGCAGGGTTTAGGGTGTAGGGCTTAGGCGTAAAGACTAACAGGCCTTTGCATAACATGGCCCTATGGAAGGTACATTAGGAGGACCCCCCACCCGATAATAGTGACTACAAGGGACAATTGTATAGGTGGACCCCCCACCCAATAATAGTGACTGTAAGGGACAATTGTAAACTATCATTAGGGTCCTCTTATATGCCTATTCTACCCCTAAACTCTAAATCCTAAACTCTAAATAGTAGTTTCCATTTTCTTTTCCAGTACACCTATATAACCCCCACTATTGCCGGGTAAGCGGTCCACCAAAGGGATACTAGCAATGTCGCGGGGAGTCCTGTAGTTTGTGTACCTCAATCATGGGGAACCCGCACGAGCAGCTACGCCCATTATTTTTTTGAAATTTCGCAGCTGACTTGCAAACCCTGCGACTCCAAACCACCCTACAGCCCCGGAATTGTTTGAATTCGTATCCACTTATCAAGACCTCAACCCTAGACCTTAAACCCCATACATCCCATACATTGGAAACTCCAAATTCTGCATCTTTGTAACCTAGCCGAACTACGCAAAAGCAAGCAGAAAATTTATTCTGGCATATTATAGTATTTTTTGTATGATATAATATATCATAATATATTATGGTACATTGTAACCTATTATGGTATAATACAATATAAACATGGACCTTTTGGTAGTGGACTTGTCCAGTCTGCCATCAACTTTCCATCAGAAGGAACCATGCTGAAATTCGGGTTTAGGGCTTAGGGCTTAAACTAGGTCACGTAAGAGCAGCCGCGTTGTGAGTCAACAGATGAATATTTTCTTCTGAGCTTTTAGCTTCGGTAGGGGTCCTGACGTGCAGACAAATCCTGGGCAACCAAACACCCAAGTAGTAGATCATTTGGGCCCAAGTGATAGTCTCCCTTAGAACCCCAAATTACTGTAGTCCTTATTACTGGGACCGGCAAAAGGTACACCTAATGTTGGTGGGCCCCAGATGGGCTTCTTCCTATAAACCTGCAAACCCTAAACCCTAAACCTAAATCCTACATCCAGGCGCGCGACTTAGGGTCAACCCCTGGGCTCCTGTGTGTCGTTCCTTGTGAGATTTGTTTTAGGTCGGGTCCACACCCCACTAATAGTGACCACAACAGGCACTGGCAATTATATTAAGGTCCTTATTGCACTATTACTGGGTGTAGGCCCAACCCAAGATTAAGATTTGTTCTAGGTTCCCCGGTAACCCCTTGATAATAAGGGTCCCGTTTTTCCTGAGGATTTGTTTTTACTAAGGAGACCCCAAAACAAAAAGGGATAAAGGGTACTACTGGGGTACCTGGTGTTCTTGCTGTTGGTATTGGTAAGGGGTCATGATCACAAAATCTTCCAAGAGGAACTACACAGGAGGCATAAACCCTCAAGCCTAAACTGTTTCCGGGTTCCCTTGCGGGCTCATGCGTAGTCCTCAGCAGGGTAACTAGGGTTCAAAAAACTAGTTTTATCCTACTTGTTATCCCGTTTGAGGTTTAGGGTTTAGGGAAACCATGCGTAATCACCCCACCCCCTGCAGAAAGTCCATTTCTCCTCCTATTGCAATTCTACAAAAGGTACGATGTTGAGAATGTATGCTTTAGCTTTTCGTGAGTTTGTGGGGGAATGTATGATGTTCACGGATCGGGGGGAAGTTGAACCTTAGTATGAACAATGAAACCTATAACTCTAAACCCCAAACCTTTAAACCCTTAACTTCAAACCCTAAACCAAATAGCTCATATAACCCCTAATCCCTATTAACTACCCTATAATCCCAGTTTCCATTTCATTTTCCATTTGATTCTCCATTATTGGGGGGTAATGCCCTGAACTCATCCAAGGTCCCTGCGCCCAAGCAACCCACAGCAGGTTCATGAATAGCAGCTGCTGACAACCCAGCCTCAGTGGTTTAGGGCCGTGGGTTAGGGTTTAGGGATTTCAGTTAGGGGTTCAGGGTATAGGTCAAGGGTTGTAACATATGTAGGGTTTCGGGGTTAGGTAGAGTTGAGGGTTAGGTTTCAAGGGGTTTAGGGTACAGGGGTTTGCAACAACTAGGCCCGCTTCGCGACAGCCGAAAGAACTCTGAAAGATCTGCTTCGTCTTGGGGGGTGGGTAGTTTAAGGATCTGAAGTCTAACTCTGGGTTGGCCCCTAAAACCCTTTGAAAAATGTTAGTATATAGTTAGGGAAAACATTAAATATCCCAGGGGCCTACCCAGAACTTAGTTCTGAGAGATGTCCAAACCATGACAACCAGGAACGTCGTAAATACCCCGAACCCTAAGCCCTAAAACCCTATAAAAACTAAAACCCTAAACCCTATAAAACTTAAAACTCCAAGCCCCGAAACCTAAACCGCGTGCTATGGCGCCCGCAGCGGCAAGTCAACGAGCCAGATCAATGCTGAGCGCTAGGTAGGTCCCTAAACCCTAAACCCTCAGTCCTATATAACTTTTTTTATAGCCCCTATATATCCCCCCTATAACCCCCCTTGAAAAGCATCGTGGTTTGGGGTTGAGGGCTCAGTGTGCGCTAGGCATATTGCTTGACAGATTCCTGGCATGAAAAAACATCCATGGTGGTGCCCCCTCACGGCCCATAAGTATGAGGGTTTAGGGTTTAGGCTTCTGGAACTTCTGATGTTACTTATCCCCACCAGAAGGTGGCATCGTGCGTACACGTACCACTTACCAAACACGCCCAAGTCAGCCCTACTCTACATCCCTTTCGCGTAACACGGAGCTGTTTGTGTTGGCTCAAGCAGCTGCACTTCAGGTGAAACTAGGCGCGGCAGCCTTAAACAAATTTACCTCTGCCGAGTCTTGAGTGGAAGGAAATCCCCTCACTTGTCAAACTACACCCTAGGCCCTGACTCCAAATCCGCACTCCATCGCACTCCTCAGAACCAGCATGAGGCTTTGCAGAAATATGCAGAGGAGTTGTCAATTAGAGAGACAAGAACGAGCATTAGCGAGCACCCCCAGCAACTCTGCGTGCATTCTTGGACATCCAACTAATCCCTAACCCTACACCCTTATAAACCCTAAATGGTAATTTGAATTTTCTTTTCCATTATCCCAATATAACCCTAAACCCTACATCCTAAACCCTAAACCACATGACGGTGCAGAGCTGAGGGGTGGATGGCGGAATTCAGCAGCAGCTAGCAGCAGCAGTCACCTTTTTTCTTAGATGAAATTCTAATGGTCTATAATCTAAACTCCTTAAAGGGGGGTTATACAGGGAATTATACTGGGGACTACTATAGGGCATATTAAGGGGGATACTAGGAATTTACAGAATAGACAATGGCTCTGATTACCATTTTACTCATGTGGGAAAAGTGTTGCGCACGTCCCTGCTGCCAGCATGAACTTCAAGTTGATAATGCTGCTGTTCCTGAACATCCTGAACATCCACACCCACACAAATGTCTGACAAATCCTACTCCAATATGGGCCAAACTTTGGTGCTCTCATCCGCAGGCTGTCAAAATTGATAGTCCCTGTAAGGGCCCACTAGCACAGCCCGTTATTGTAGCTTCGTGGGCTTCTAGAAGTCAGGTTAACATGAACTGAAAACATGGATTACATATATAATCGCAGATTACATGTCAGATACATAGACACAGTGACGTAGGTATATGTCTGCATGTATGTAAGTGTATATGTGCATATCCACAGACGAACTGTTAGGGAGGCTATCTTCTTTAACTACTACAAGGGCCTAAATATTTACCAATATCATGTTGAGGTCCATTTGAGGTACCGTAGCTTCCGCATGCTGTCTATAACGTGAGACTTGCACGCTCTATATGCATGTAAATGCGCATGCTGGGCGCATGCAGCTAGAGAAATATAGATACCTGCAAGCTGTCCGTCTTCCGTGCTCTGTTGACAACAAAATTCTCAATTTTCAAGTAACCTGAAACATGTCTCCGGCTCCAATTCATGAACGGGTCTCATTCACCTAGCCGAGCGTGAAATCGAACTCAGGATGTTCATGGTAAAGGTCCAAAATGCGAGTGGCATAGCCAGGTATCCGGCCTCCGTCTACCCGCTGCCCGCGGCCATTCGGTATATAAGATGGGAGCTTCCAAAAACCCCAGGGCCCCAAGAAAGTACGATCAGCCCCAGGGAAGACATCATGGGAAAAACGTGCCCCTCCAATCTTCTCCCGCCGAAAGCACTAAACCCTACAGTCCCCCTCAAGTAGATAGAACATGGTTTTGGATATGTTGTAATAAGATCCCCGTATATCCCATATTGTATCTACTTAAGGGGGGCTATACACCCAACCCTAGCCAGGACATATATTGGTCTTGGACACACGCTACAAAACATGTGGATTCTGAAGGTGAAGGGGCAATGTTCCTAGTCATTCAGGCTTCTGCAATAGTTGAGCTGGTGCAGGATGACTTCTGCAAGCTGTGTCGTTCACGATTATCTCTTGCAAAGATCTGTGTACTTTACTTGGAACTGCCTGTGGGAAAAACAAGGATCAAGTCCGAACACAACACCATTCTTTGAGGACCTGGTACAAAAAAGGGGAAACGACCAAACATTTGGAAACAGCACTGGTTCGTCATGCTTCTACATGAATATAATATTGTAAACTGTAAACCGTAATCATGTAGTGGTGAGGTGCTGAGCTGAGAGTGGCAGTCCTGGAGGGGCATTGCGTTTCCGATGGAATTAAGAGCCCTTGATCAAGCCCTTGTCGCCTCGATTCAGGCCACTGTTGCGCATGGCTTTGACAAAGTGCTGAAGCATGGAAAACGCTGCAGATCTCACCCGAGGATGTTTAGCATTAGCAGGGGTCAGGAAGAGGGTTTACGTATAGGGCCGGCATACCCAGAGCCTCATGTTTAGCTCGTTCTCGGGTAGTATCTTCTACCTCCTAAAAAAAAAAGAACTGCATAAGAAACTTTGGGACTAGGATTGGAGGGACAGACATGATTTCACCTCCGGAGCCCTGGAGCTCCTTTTCGCGACGCAAATGTTACTACTGCGGATGGGAATCTTGTCTTGAACCAGGGGTTACTATAGCCAATTTACTAAATCCCCTTGACCATCCCAGAAGCGTTTATGGACGTTGGATGCCTTCAGCTTCTCCAGGACAGAAGGCCACCACCGATTAAGATTTTGGGTTGAGGGACCTAGAATATGATACGTATCGCACAACATACCCCAAAGCCAGATTTTCATTCTCGTCCCGTACATTATGAAACCCAAAAACCCTAAACCCTAAACCCGTACATTATGTAGCTTAGAGTAGGTCTTCACACTCTAAGACTAGGATGCGCCGGGGAGGTGGAGATGGTGACTAGTGACTAGCAGGAACAAGAGCAAGATGAGTAGGAAAAACAACTATAGGGATTATAATAGGGATTATAAGAGGGAGTATAATAAGGATTATGAGGGATTATAAGAGGGATTATAAGAGGGATCATAACAGGAGTGTAATTTCGAGGTTATATAGGGATAATGGACAAGAAAATGGAAACTACAGTGCTATAATGGGGGCGAAGGAGGAGGAGCTCCTTCCCCCCTTTGGAAAGGTCTGTGGTCTTCATGCGGATATAATTGGAAACTACTATAGTACATGGGGATAATATTGGGGTTTTGTTGGGGTACTATTAATTAGGGTTATATCCGGTTATATTGGGGTAATATTTGGGGGCGTGAGAATTATCCTCCTGATTAACCTACTTACTAAGTCCACCTAAGTAAGAACCTAAGCCCTGAAAGTGATCAAGGCTGATCAAGGGGGCTCTTGCTTCGTGGAAAGCGCTCCGCTCAGTCCAAATATCTCAGCGGCCTCTCCTTTGGAAAGGAAACCTTGGAACCAGTAGATGACGTGTAGAGGCCAGCTTAATTATTGTGGACTCTCCTGACCACCCCCTATATACCACCCGCACTCAAGTTCTGCCTTACTTATCTCACTGAAGGCGGAATCTTAGGAGGGGGAACCTGGAACGAGGCGGTGATGAGAAAACACAAAGGAACTGCAATTCAATAAAGCTTTGTGGTGTGCTACGCACTACTCATACAAGGATTGTAAGGTAACACTACCGGGAATGCAGATGGGGCTTAGGAGCTTATAGGGTTTAGAACCCAAGAAGGATCACGGGGAAATTGGGGAATTTGAGACCTCGCATCACTTTTGGAGGAGGTTTCTTGATCAAAACAACTGCTGCAAAAAAGTAAACGAGAACCCCCGAGATCCATCGTGATTCCCACCCTAAACCCATCCATTCTGGCGCCCTCAAGAGGCCCCTGCTCCATGTCAGTTTGGAGGAATGTACTCACACAAAACCTTTCCACTCATAGGATCACATACTATTCCTGCTCTAACAACGCCATCGGGCAGGCGGAAAGCCCTAATCAGTTGAGGTGTATTAGAACTCTGTGTTGGGTTGCGGGGTGTCTAGGTGCAGTTTGTATAGGACCCTATGATCCACTTCTTGCAGCCCAAGCGGACGTTGGCCAAGATCAGGTACAGAAAGAGGCCGATGACTGGCACTGACATGGCATTGCCCGAAAGTTGTGCCTGTCACGGGGGCTTCTTAAAAATGAGAGCTTTTAGTTAGGGAGGCCCCAGGGTACGGGAAATTCCAAATGGGTCAGGGGGGATCCTTTCTGCAAGGGGCTCTATAGGAAAGATCTTCAGAAATTGTCACATAGCTCTTGGAGTTTGGGCTCTTTTCACCCTGCCTCCCCAAACCCTTACGCCCCTCAACCATAAACCCCTACACCCGAAAACTCTAATCCAAAACCCTCTCCAAACCCCAGACCAAATTTTGTGCTGCAAGCCACGGGTGCTTCAGGGAGAGTGGCGTCGGGTGGGTGGGTGTGACTACCTGCTATAACAGGGTACATGTGTGAGGATTCTTTTCCTAAAGCCTAAAGCCCAAACCGTTCAAACCGTTATAAAGATCTATTCCCCAACTCCCCGTTACGCACCGGTGAGACCTAAACCGTAAACCAGAAATCCTATGAGCCCAAAATACTATATGCGGTGTAGGGTCTAGGAAGACGCCCAGAACTGTTTGTGAACATAGGTTCCCTTATACATCGGTAGGGGAAATTTTGTTAGATATCCCAAAGTGCCGTCAAACCTTAAATCCTAAACCCTGAAATCTGAACCCTAAACCCTAAACCCTGAACCCTATACCCTAAACCCTGAACCAGAAACCCTAAACCCTGAACCCTAAAAACCCTAACCCCTTAAGGAAGCATGCTTCAGGAGTCCAGGCGCTAGGTGCCGATCTTCCAAGCCTTGGGTTTTCAGGGTTTAGGGTTTTCAGGGTTTAGGGTTTAGGGTTCAGGGTTTAGGATTTAGGGTTTGGGGTTTAGGGTTTAGGGCTTACGGTTCAGCATCTCAAGTTCAAGCATTCATTCCGAGAGCAGCTGTTCTCAGTATCAGAGAAATACCCACCCGCCCATTGGGTCCCCCAACATTCAGAAAATATTATACTCTTAGTTGTATATAACTTTAACGCAGCCAAATCACCATTATCGT